AAACTCAACAGCCTTACCTAGGAAAGAGTGGTTTTACACTTAATGATGAGATAAGTACAAATAGGATAAAAATAAGATGAAAGTAATAGGAAATACTATTCATAAATTGGATTTTTTCTAACCATTTTCCCATTTACTTTTTCAATAAACTTCATGAATGAAATGATCAGTCCTTCTTAATCTGTAAAGCATTTCTTTATTTGGACACATAAACATTGGTACAAGAAGGCATCAAGTTGATATGCGCCGCATAAATCATTCGATTTGTATGAGGGATGGAATACGGTCTGGGTGCACAAACCAAAGCAGATGGTAATCTTAAGGGGTTACATCCCGAGCCTTCAACCTAAAGGAATACTCCACAAGGCAGTGGAAAAACATCTGGAAGTGTAATCCCATGATAGCCACTGACCAATAATTGGTTCATACTCCATTGGTTTCCTTAGGATCCTGTAGCCCATGTACACCATTAGTTTGGAATAAGAATTTTCCAACTCTCCTAAGTAAATCCTGTGTATCCACCAACCCGGTTAAAGCACCGAACATTGGTTTTTTATGTTGTCAATTTCGTGAAGAACACCCCCACTGTGAGAAGACAATGAGTAAGACTTTCCTGATAGTGGTTGTATGCAAGAGCCATGTGAGAGCATTTGAAGAGGACATGGTGATTCTCCCTACTCTCAGCTGTACCAGGGCATTTGGGAGTAAGAAACTGATACAGGTAATTCACTTCAATTATCTACTAGTTAAAGCATAATTATTATTCAATGAATACAACACATTATAGTTATAATTACTCAACATTAAACAACAAACAACACATTATATATTACAATCTAGTAATTATTTATTATAAACAAATAACTGGGTATGATTGATTTCAATGTCGCTTTCTAATAACAAATCTAACATTCCTTCATTCCAAAATTTTTTTTGAAAGAAAATTGGATAACTGAAGTCTGGAAATTCAGTTATAGGTCTAAACAGTGTATTATGGAAACATCCGCAAAGTGTATATAATGGTTGAGTGTTAAGTACACATCGTTTGACATTCAAAGCATACATCAAAAGAATTTGAATAGCAACTAGGATGGTTTCTCTGGGACAGAGCTGAATTGAGAGTGCTGGTGAATGGCCTATGCTCATTCCATAAGGGGTATAAGTTTTAGTAAGTTTGATGACTGTAGATGACTGTAGAATGAAAGTATCAGTATGATGACTGTCATTCATGATCTAACAAACATTGAACTAATACTCATTAAGATTGATACAACCCTGGATACACAGGATTTACTTAGGAGAGTTGGAAAATTCTCATTCCAAACTAATGGTGTACATGGGCTACAGGATCCTAAGGAAACCAATGGAGTATCATAACATTGATTAAAGCTTGTTTTAATCAAATCAGTTCAAACTATAAACGATATATGTTATACAGGTCGGTTAAACGATATAATAGATTAATGCTTCTTATAAATGTTTGAGGGCAAGGTCGTACTGCAGACTGTACAGAGGTGTGATGACAGTAAGGTGTTCCCTTCAGACAACCAGCATAAGAGTGATGCTGCCTTCCCACAACGAGTGGTGTTGTTAGAAAAGGTTAACCCTAACAATACACACCAGGTACGCCCAGAAGAATCGTTCCACATTGTGGGTAACCGGGAAGTCATAACCACCCTCATACTTCTAACAGCACTCAAGACCACTGTATTCATAATCAACCTCCCTCTTCAATTCCTATTATTCCTCCTGACTGATCTGTGCTATCCGCTAATTAACTGTATTCGCCTCTTCTTATTACCTTCTGAATTCCAACACAATTGGTGATTTATATAATTCCAGTTATCGAGGTGATTGAATTACGGAGCTTAGTCACTTTAAGTTCAGTAATCTGCCTAAGGACCGAATTCTGTCATTATCTGACTAAATAAAACAGAAGTTCGAGTCATGATACAGTACTCATTCTGTTAATTTTGTATTCTTACTTAATTAATGGAAAGTATTCATGTCATGTTATTTAGTCGCCATCATTCAGCAATTATCATTATCATTTTGGTTAAGATAAGGAGGTTAAATAAAATGATATTCATTTTTAAGAACGTGAGAGGAATACTTTCAACAGTTTTAAAGTTTGGTCGATTTATCGTTTATCACTTTACTTCTACGCTTAATAAAGAGACTACTTTCAAAAAAATACTGTTATTTTTTTGAAATAAGTCATCTTATCTAGATGCCTGCCTTCATTAATATGAGCCTATGGATCGTCTCCTTTATTAATATACATCCTTTTATATTTGTTCTTTTCACAATCACCCGTTCATTTACACACTTATTAGTGTATAATCAATAGGTTTCATACAGATCAATATTCAATTTGTTAAAGGTTTATCAAGACTCAGAATAGCTCAATAGTAACATTTCTAAACTTAATACTCATTGACAAGACCATAAGAAAGATCAATTCGCTGAAAATCATTCTCCAGTATTGATTAATGTGATATTCAGGTTAAGCAATGGTTCTTATCCATTGTTTCCAATCATATGAAATTAGACCAAGGTGAAAGAATGTCTTTCTTTTTTGAAAAAGAATTCATGAAATCACTTATAATCAACATACATTATTCATTCTTTCTTAAACTGTAAATCATACACATTCAGTACCTTTCAGTAAAATAGTGAATTAAAATGATCTGCACTTTTTTCTCTCCTAAAGGGATAACCCTAAACTGCTTTCGAAATAAATCTCCAAAGAAATTTAATGATAATAGATCATAATATATGACTTATCTAATCACATATTAATAGTTTTTGCATTTTAAAAAATACCTTTAAAAGTATTTGATGATGAAGTTCAGGAGATGACATTTTAAAGTTCACCCTTTCAATTTATCAAATATTCATCGAACAGTCAATCATATTTTGAGAAAATATGAAAGATACACTGATATTGAAATGTTTGGAGATTTCGAATTTATTAATCTTTGGTAAAATCTGTCTGTACTGGGGCTTAGCTTTGTTAATTAATCACCTTGATAACCGCTATTATATAAATCCCAACGGTGTTTAAATTCAGAAGGCAATAAGAAGAACGCGCTAGATCGATATGTCCTGAGTTTGAATCTCGCGAGACAGGATCGTGGATGAGCACTGCTGAGGAATCCTACAATAGGAAAAAACAACCGTGCTTCCAAGTTTTCCATGATGATCTAGCTTTAACTGACTCATGATCTCAACTGTTATAATGACTTTTGGTTGATCGAGTAATATTTAAACGATCAATAGTCAGTCAGTCAGTAACAACGTAGAACTTCGTACGTACGTACATCAGTTCGAGTTGCCATACCACATTAGCAAAGAGATGCAATAACTTACATTTGTTACATGGATAAAATCCCTCTTCTCGTATAAGCAGTAATCGGAAGCATTAGGGTTTGAAGATGTCATTCAAGGAGTATAATACAGAGAAAGAAATTTGGAAAGAGGAAAAAGGAAGGGGACATGAATAATTCAGATTAGAATTTGGGAGAACACAAAGAGTGGATGCACCTGCGCTATTGCAAACCATTTTGAGCCATGTCATTCTAGGTCTCTAACCATCGGTTGCTATCATCTCGCGGTCCCCAACCAGGTAGTCTACACCTACCAACATGGCATAGTCCACTTGTCAGTGACTTCATGGACTTGTGCCATGTTTTGGTCTGGCCATCCCTAGCTTTCTTCCAACCTACTCCTATACCACTGAACATCGCACGTCGTGGCAGTCGGTCGTTGGGCATACATAACACGTGTCCCAGCCATCTCAACTGATGAAGTTTCACCACTTGATTTGCAATCCTTACCTAGTACCCGTTTCCTAACAACCGCGTTACTTACTCGATGGTCCCAGGATATACGACTAATGTTTCGAAGACACCTATGATCAAATACTAGTAACCTACGAATATCCTCTACTCTTACCGGCCATGTTTCACTGCCATAAAATAGGGCGGAACGAACCGCTGCACAGTAAACACGTCCTTTAATTGATAGACGGATATCTCGCCTACGGCATAAATGACGCAAGTTGGCAAAGGCTAGTCGAGCCTTCTGTATCCGTGCTGAGATTTCGTCACACACCAAACCACAAGGGCGGATGAGACTTCCAAGATAAGTGAAGCGGTCGACACACTCAACTACTTCACTACCTATCACTAGTTCGGATGTCGATGTAACCCAATCCTGAAGCAACATTTTGCATTTCGAGGGGGAGAATCGCATCCCGAAAATACTTGCATTGTTGCTTAGAGTGGTCAGAAGACTGCATTTTGTCAATGTCTTCACCAAATAGAACTATGTCATCGGTATATTCTAAGTCAACAAGTGAATCTCCCGGTAGAAGTTCAACCTCTGGAAATTCGGATAAGGAAAGTGTTATCTATATAAGTATGTCTACGATAAAGTTAAACAAGAATGGAGAGAGTGGATAGCCCTGACGAACACCACTTGAGGTAATCAATTCTGATGACAGTTTGTCATAAGCTCTCACTCTACCAGTTGTGTTCGATTAGAGAGCCTTTACAAGGTTAATATACTTCTTTGGTACTCCTTTCAGTGACAAACACTGCCATAGCGATCAACTCTTAAACTAAAAAGTGGTATGTGCATAGCTATCACATGTGATCAAGTTTACAAGTTTATACAGACATGATAATGATTACAATGATATAAAGAAATAGATGAATTGTTACTATCCAAATAACATTGTCTGTTAAATAAGTTAATCAAAGGACTTGACAAAGATTGACCATGATCGAAATACATCGTAGCAGAGTTACTATGGTTATAATCAAATGATACGCCTACCTTGACTATTACAATGTAAGTCAATTTCCATAATTCCAATCTGTTTATTGTTCTTCTAAATCCTTTGTTGTTCTTTTGTAATAATTTATCTCTTATTTATTTATTTATTCCATTTCAGATATTCACCATTTGGTATATTCTTTCTAATATTAAGTAAAATGTTAGAAATTGAAAATTTAAGTGATACAGCAAAAGCATTAGGTTTATATATGATAACTGTAATTACTGGTTTGGCTATACATTTACTTGGTACATTAGCATTACTCTATTATTCGGTAACAAGAAAAAATCCATTCACATTCTATAAAGGTTTATTTCAAGTGAGTAACTATGACATTGTTCCAATATGAATAATAATCACATTTTTTTTTCTTAAAAAAAAAATAATCATTGATTCACAATAATAAGCAAAGATGGATAATAGCTAGCAGTAGAATACAAGAGGCGTGTTTCGTCCTAGTTGGGACACATCAGTTGAATTGAGATCTCAATATGTTTTGTGAAAAGTGACAATTTTGAATAAGATTATAGTTTTGTTCATTTATATATTGAAAGTAATAACAAACATAAGCTACTTATTCATAGTTTATTTCAATTCAAGTTCACTTCATATGATAAGTCTTGGTTAGTTTAAAAAAATTGAACATGTACATATATTTTCTGTTCAAATGAATTTCTTGTCTGAAATTGAGTACTGATAACTAAACTGAGATGAATTTAACAGTACATTGTAGGTAACTGCAAATGAATCAAATAGATAACTAAGTTCATTTCAAACTTAAGTCATCATTCATATGATGATTTATTAAAGCTCATTATAGATCATCCTTTCATATAGGTAGCTCAACATTTCGTCATGCTGTACTTCGCATTGATTTAATGCCCTGGTACGATCGAGGATGAGGAAAGTCAGCTTACCCTTTACAAATGCTCTCACATGGACACGCGTATACAGCCACTACCAGGGGAGTCCTACTCACTGCCTTCTCGTAGTGGGGGGTTTTGTTTACGAAATTGAGAGGACGAAAAGCGAATGTTCGGGATTATAATTTATTTAGACCTATGCGTTTAGTTTTAATAATCATTTAATTTAGTTGTAAAATCGTTAACATTACTGATTATTTCCTGACTTAAAAATGTTTATATCTCTATGCTCAACTATGTTATCATTTTTATCAGAATTGCGGTTCGCGGTGATTAAAGTAACATTAATACCTGAATTCATGAGTCGACTAAAGCTCGGTTTTCTAAAAGTTCAGAGGTAACGTGAAATACCGAAGGTCCTGTGTTCAAGTTCCATATTCGGAATCGTGGATGCGCACTGTTGTAGAGTCCTATATTAGAACGAAATGCCCATCCAATGCTTCCAGGTTTTCAATAGTGATCTAGCTTAAATGGACTCATGAATTCAACTATTAAAATCATTCTAAATTAAAAACACGAAGTTCAGCGAAGGGATCTCTTTTCAACGAACTTATTATCAAGCTGTACAATCGTATATAAATGAAAATCTTTTGTTAAAGTACTAATTCCCCTATTAAGTGTGAACATAAATAACCAAGATGATGTAATAGAAAGATTATAATACTAGACTACGTAATACGAGTAATAACAATGGATTTAGATTTAGTGAATGCAACGACGGAAGAAATCAGGTTGGCCATCAGACAAATCAAGAGCAGGGAAGCAGCAGGACCAGAAAATATACCAGCTGAAGAACTGAAGTTAGACAATGAAGCATTGAATATAATGGATAGCTCAGAATCGATCAAAAGATTTGGACTTCTCAGATAACCTGGCCCTCCTGTCCCATACACACGAACAAATACAGATGAAGACAACTAGTGTAGCAGCAGCCTCTGCAAAAACAGGCCTTAACATACACAAGAGCAAAATCAAGGTCCGCCAATACAACACGGAGAACATCAACCCAATCACACTTGATGACGAAACTCTGGAAGATATGAAACCCTTCATGTACCTGAGAAGCATCATCAATGAGCAAGGAAGATCACATGCAGACGTAAAGGCGAAGATTATCAAAGCAAGGGTCTCATTCCTACAATTGAAGAGCATTTGCAACTCAAAACAACTGTTAACCAATATCAAAGTCACAATCTTGAATACGAACGCCAAGACTACTGTACGGAGCTGAAACTTGGAGAACTACCACAACCAACATCAAGAATGTACAAGTAATTATAAATAGTTGTCTACTCAAGATACTCAACATCCATTGGCCGGATGCTATCAGTATTTATGAATAAAATAATGGGAATATAAGACACAAGTAAAGGGGAATGCAGCAATAACAATAATAATAATTAAAACCAAGGTAACGATAACGATAGGACATATTCCTTTTGTACGCATAGTTCTACTTTGAGCTCATGGATGGTAAGAGCTTCGGTTATTTTTAGGAGTTGGATACTAAGAAATCTAGGTAGATTTGAACGAATCATATAAACAACCTTAAAATCAAACTATGGATCCGTAATATGATTACAGTCGATTAGCTGTTCAAGCATAGAACTCGTAACTGCTTTCCTCTCACCTTTGAAGAACCAAACTGGGACGTATCCCCGTATTCGAATCTAAAACTATTGTTAGTATTCGTATTACCTAATCTAGTGTTATAATCTTTCTATTATATCATCTTGGTTATTCATTTTCACATTTCTTCAAGGAACTAGTACTTTAACTTTATATATACGATTGTACAGCTTCTTTGAAAAGAGATCCCTTCGTTGAACTTCATATTTATTAAAATCATGTTATCATTCGTTCATTCTCCCTACAACACTCAAATTTCATCGACAAATAAATTCTTCATTAAATTTACAAAAAAATAATTATTTTTTTTTGTTTTGCTTTGGATAAGATTAGAAAATAGATTATGAAAAAATGGTTATTCGCTTTTCAGTTTACCATGGTAGAAAAAAAGATTAACCTCACACGCAGAAACACATACATATATATATATATATATATATATATATATATATATATATAAATGTACACATGCACACACAAGGAAGGAGCAAGACATAATTTATATTCATAGTGGATACGTTTTAATCTAATCCAATTGTATGTAAATAAATCAAGTAAGATAAAGACCTAACCCCCTCCATCTTAACACAACAACAACAACAAAAAATACAATTTATACCCTCTCAAAAGAGATTTTAATGTGAACAGTAAAATGAAGTGGTTGATTTACTTGAACTAGAATAGAAGAAGAATTAAAACAACTAACTAAACTTTATCGTAGAATTAAAAAAGAAAAGTAAAGAAGAAATGATGTAAGTTAGTCCATTTTAGGAGGGGGTGGAGTGGTGTGGTGTGGGGTGGGGTAAATCAATCGGTTGTTAATCATAAATAGACCTTAGATATTGTTATCTAATTTTTTTGGTTTAGATACTAATCTTATCTCTTCTTTTACACTTAAGTGAAAATATAGATTTCGTTTTTTTGTCGATTGTACAGTTTCTTTTTCTTTTCCTTCTCTCTTTTTTAAATGAAGGTAGTTTTAATAAGATCTAATGTAAATTATTATCAAGTTAATAGATTGAAACGAATAAGTGAAATGTATATAAATTTTTCTCTGATAGTATAAATGAGTGATCAAGTACTTGTTGTTAGGGTATTAAGTGGTTTTTTTTTTCGTACACATTCTTTTATTTAAAAGAAAACAACAACTAATGAACTCGTATACGAAAGAGTATTTCACGGTTCTTTCCAACAAAGTGTTAAGTGTATTAGTGAAGACATTAAATTAAGTCAATAATGTCAAGTTACGATGAATATATTAAAATATGACTTACTTACATACGCTTGTTACTCCTAATGGAGCATAAGCCACCGACCAGTATTCTCGAACCCACTCTGTTCTGGGCTTTCCTTTACTTTACTACAACTATGCTGTATGCTACATAAATCGACAGGCATAAGTAATATATAACACTGGTCAGAGATTGAGGGCCTGAAAGAAGAAGATTGAGAAGATAGCATTGAAGAAAACAGGAAGATATTGTGAATTGAAAGATTTATGAAAGACATAAAGGACAATTAATGGAAGATTTTCAAATGAAGTATTTAATATATGGTTTTCATATTTTAAGAAAGAACTTTGCAATTTTGTATGAGACAATAAATTGGTTAACTCCACAACATCTTCGCTCACTAAACTACCAAACAGGACAACAATGAGAGAGACAAAGGACAATTGATTCTAACTTATATTACTATTCACAGAACGTTAACTGTAATGTAGTAGGAATAAATGAACACATGCAAGTATACGGTTGTGGAATGTGTTGAGTCCCATTGAATTCATGAATAGATAGATGTTAGATAGCCATTGAAAACTTGGAAGCACTGGACGACCATTTCGTTCTCCTATGGGACTCCTCAGATATTTCCATTCACGATTTCGCACATAGGAATCTAACCTAGAATCTTCATTTTCGAGTAAACACGAATCCTGGATTCCATTGCTAGCCACTATCCATCATTGCTTGAAAAGCTTATGTCTTCCATAGTTCATCTTTAAACAGCAGATAAGTGAACAGTGAATCCTATCTGTTAGTTTTCGTTCATTTATCAAAATTAATGCTTAAATGAATGATTCATAATGCAATATATATTGTACTTCCTATCATGATATCTAATACAGAAAAACTCAAAAGGGGACACCATAGGGGTTTGTGTATTCTTCTCTTTGTCTGTTTTTTTTTGTTTAGAGAAACAACAGGCACCTAATTTAAAATATATACATTTTACTTATTATATATGAAACAGAATCGTACTGACATAATTGACCATATAGCTTATTGCTGGAGATGAATGGTCGTTAATCTCTTTTATATATATAGCATGTTTCACTACTATGACTATTATCAGTAATACTGAATTGTATTATTTCTCTCTATCTTTTTTCACTCTGTTTATACAACCTACAAAAGGCTTGGATTACAGCACTTGGAACTGCATCCAGTGCAGCTACTCTACCAATTACATTTCGTTGTTTAGAACAAAATCTAGGCATTGATAAACGTGTAACACGTTTTGTTCTACCTATTGGTGCAACAATCAATATGGATGGAACTGCACTATATGAAGCTGTTGCATCAATTTTTATTGCACAAATTAATGGAAAATATTTGACAATTATTGAAGTATTTATTGTAAGGTAAGTCCCCCCAAAAAAACAAAGGAAACAATAGAGAATGATTATAATTAGATCAAGTATAATTAGAATTTGAACCTTTATTCGATTATGCAATAACACACTACTTGATTTGAGTCCAAATTATATGAGGATAATAAACGTAGAGTGTGGGACCCTTATCTGAATCTATTTGGATCGTACGAATGATTGATATTGAGATATTTATATCGTCAATCCTCGTTGACTTAATTAGCGTTAGTGAATATGGTGTTAAAATAAATCAAATATGAGGAAGGATCATTGATCCAGGCAGACGATCAAAGGAACGAAATGAAATGATGTGCGATGAAGAAGGCATGTGAACCAACTACATTTAATCAAGCGGTAATTCATATTTATAGCCAGATAAAAATAAGTTACAGATATGTGATGAATAGAATAAGAAGTGTACACATACATACGCTCATATAAAAACAGTCAGGGGTTGACAAGATTATAGGTAACAGGGTCAAAACGTGAATCAAAAAGAATGGATAAATTATCCTATCCAGAAACTAGAATAACTTATGTGAGCTTAACATATAACTAACACTATAAGAGCATTGGAATTAGTCGAGTATAGCATTTTACAAGGAAGATATTTTGAAGCATGAAGTAAACAATTAATTATCTAAAGATGGAGGTGACACTACCCAACTATACGAATTACTGTAGAAATTTGGATGTATATATTTACAACACAACGATTGACAGTCAATTGAGATCATTAGGCTGTTGTTGTATAATATCAGACGTAATTATTTCGTTTCACATTATAGTTTACTGTAGAACATTTTTCAGTAAACACTATGCGAATCCCATTCTTTTTTAAGTGTGAACTCTAACGAAACAGACATTTTCGAAAGTCATTTATTTCATCCTGGAACTATTTCTTCTCAGTTCTGTACACCATTACTATTACAGTGGGGGGGGGGGAGACAGTTGAATGTAATTGAATATAAAATTACAGAACATCTTAGTAAAATCTGAGAACTACGTCATTTGTCTCAGACTTCATTGTTCTTTCAATTCTACAACAGTCATCATTTGTTCTTGTTCTCTTTTTTGATCTTCTTAACCTTATACCTCCAGGCATTTCACTTTCAATTGATGATATGTACTACTTAAACTGTCGAGATCAGTAGAACACACTACACTATTACTAGTGAATATAACATAGAAATGAACTTTCCAAGTCAAATATTTAACATTTTAACTAATAAGTACTGTCAGCTAGATTATAAGATATGTAAAGTAAAATTTTGAATTAATCATAAATTTATAGTGGAATTCATAAGATAACAGATTTGAACGTTAGTTGTACTCAGAGAGACGAAGATTTTGTAGATTGATAAACTTGGGAATCCATTGATAACCGTTAATGTGTATGGGATTTACGATAATTATTGTTTAAGATTAGTTTGCGTCACAACCCAATATCTAATTATAAAACGAACTACTATAAACCTAGAGGCACTAAAGAACTATTTCCCAGTAGCTCTGGTCTACAGCTCTTAAAGGAAATTAAACCCAGGACACTTTTAGACCATCACAGTGACCAAATTACTTTTCGATCTTTAAGTCTAAATTTTTAATTTTACATATTATCAACTTGAAGTAATTCCCTAAAAAGCACAAACTTAGAAACTTCTGTTATCCCTAAAAAACGAAAGTAGCTCACCTCTTTAATCTATTTATTACAGGTGTTGCACCCTTAGTATTTCCTGACATGATGCATTATCTATATTGCCAACCAAGTGATTCATCGTTTGATTACAACTGTTTATATAATAAGTTTTGTGATAATGATTCTCAATCAAACTACCAATCAGATGATGTGTATTCAACTTCTCGAAATTCTATGAATCATTCTTGTCTTAGTGAAAATGCTAAACCAACTGCTTATAATTGGGGTAGTCGTGGTCCAGCATTTGACGGGGCTTTAGGTATATGTGTTGCTGCTCCCGGTGGTGCTAATACGTCTATAGCTAGTTGGCAATTAAAGCCAGCCAGTGTTCTGAGTGGAAGTTCAATGAGTGCGCCTATGGTTACTGGTGGAATTAGTGAGTACTTTTTGTAAATTCACAACTATTATTATTTATTTATTTATTTGAACACATAAATATTGGTACAAATGGGCACCAAATACATATGCGCCACACAAGTCACTTAATTTGTGTGTGGGACCGGGTGCCCAGACCGAAGCAGAAATTAAAAACTTCAGAAATATAGTAATTGTGTTAATCATAAAAGTATCTATATTATTTTATTACGAGATAAAGTTGTTTCAAATATCCTCATCATATTTTGTGGTATCGCTTTTGTATGGATTAAAATTATGCATACATACAGGTTGCATATCAACTTGGTAACTTTACAGTGCCAGAAATAAATATTCTTATTATTCCATTCTTAATACATACAGCTCAACCCTATACCACCTCATCAAAAGGTTAATCGCTGGGAAACTAAAAAAATTATGGTGAAGTGAATTAATGATTAAATCGCCCAATTCTTCCTGGATCCGCTTTCTGATGGAGCTGTAGATGTGTACTGTAGAAGTGTCCCATTCTAGAATGAACGTCAAAGTTCAATTAATAATCATGTACTTCAATTGTATTGGCTGTTTAAATCTTGCCAGTTGATATTTAAGACTAAAATCGATCATTCTTATTTGCTATGTGTGCATCCTGTACTGATTGTTTCAATATTGCCAATATGTCTTAAACATTTTGAGCAAACATAGATGGTAGCTAGCAGAGGAATCCACAATGCCCGTTTTGTCCTATTTGGGATTCGTCAGCTCGTATCACCTGCGTTCCAGGGTTGACGTGAACTCCTGGATTCGAACCCAGTACTTTTGGGATCAAATGCCAACATGTTACCCACTTAGTTACCCAGTCCAAATAGCCACTAACTTATGCGATTGGGTGAATTTCAATTCCTTTTTATTCGTTGTTTGAATCTTCCCATTGATGTTTAGGCACATCCATATGACGTGTCTTAAATCGAGTGAAGCGCATGCCTAGGATTCCACTTCTAGGCACTGTCGATCTCTGCCTTAAATAATCATCTACTTCTCCTTGTTATGCCATGGTATATATATATATATATAAATATCGAAAGTTCATACACCACTTCTTTTGCATTTCCTTGTTCATAGGCCTTATACTCTCTGGATTGCGTCATCGATATACGTGTATTGATAGTGAACGATTGAAAATTCCACCATCACTTATTTATAGATGCTTAATGACTACTTCTAAGTCATTTAAACATTTATCTTATTTGGATCAAGGTTATGGTTTGATGCAAGTAGACAGAGCCTTCTGTTATGTAGATCGTCTCATACATAATTATATGAACGAAATAAAAAAATAACTAATCTGTGTACAGATTTCAAGAATATAAATGATATTGATCATGTTAATGATGCTGATCATATATCCTCACCATCATTAAATATTAAAAAGTAAGTTAAAACTATTTAATTCAATTAATATGTATATATGCATTTGAAGTCTTATGGTTCATGGTGTAGAATGCTCTATGAGTAGTGTTTCATTTTATGAACTGGATGTCCACTGAATTCTTAGGCTTTCATTGTAGTTTTGAACAATGAAGTTTGATAGATTATAAATAGGTACTGGTAACTTTGTGCTTAGGGCTTACAACATAATCCATTGATTAATGACGGAATACAATAAATATTGGTGGTAAACTTGAGGTTGTGTTTATCACAAATCCTTATTATTATTATTATTATTAGTATTATTATTATTATTATTAGTAGTAGTAGTAGTAGTAGTTGTAGTACTAGTAGTAGTAATAATAATACTAATAGTAATAATAATAATAATAATAATAGTAGTATTTTCTCACAGTGTCATATTCATTCACTCATCATCATCATCTTAAACATATACTTCATACATCACTTCATTAATTTCATATGAACAGAAAAAAATTGTATGTCCGGATTTAGCGGATAAATTGAATTCTATTGAACAGTTAATTTATGTTGTTTATCTCTGACTGCAACCTGCAATAGGGTAACAATAATTAAATTAATTTATATTTATAAGAAGGCTTCATGATCGTAATAATAATAATAATACATTGTACTACTGCAGAATCTTTGTTGGTCGACATTCAAATAAAAATTATGAAAATTCTAAAATTTCCACAAATCCTCTTATAATCATGTACTCGCTAATGATTAGCTTCAAGATACAGGTTGTGAGGTCCTAGTAAAGTGCTGTAACCATTTCGCGTTCGAGACAATTATCCACTTCAAACTATAATTGAAGATTGAACAATATTGTGAATCGATTGAAGTTAGACATTAACACTGTTGGATACCGGCTCAATGATCTATAGTTAAGTGTTTACGTGAGAGACCGAAGGTTCTGAGTTTAACTTTCAGGTTTGAGGTCGGCGATGCTCACTGATAAGAAGTTCCATACGAGAACCAAACAGTCTTTCAGTGCTTCCAGGTTTTCGATGGTAATCTTCTCATGTCCGTATCCATTTCTCGGCGTAATATGTTCCTTGGTCTTCCTATTTTCCTTTCGCCTTGAAGATTCCATGTGAGGGCTTGCCTTGTGACACATTTGGGTGCCTTCCTCAATGCGTGTCCTATCCACTTCCTGATTTCTTCCTCCAATGGGATCTGGTTTGTTCTCTTCCATAGTAGGTTGTTGCTGATAGTTTCTGACCAACGGATCCGAAGTATTTTGCGTAGTATATAAGACTTAATGTGTACCGAAATTTGGGTACTTATCTAGTCATGGGATAACGTAAGTTGGTTGCTTGACCAGTGTTCAATGGAATCAACGTTTATGGTTTTTAAATATTTACCCTAAATTCTTCTTGTTAGCTCGTCAATAAAATTATTACCTGTACCTGATCCATGTATAATGTATGGTTGGCACATTCGATTGACTGTTTCTGGACCTGGTTGTACACTACAAAATCGTGGAATTTGGTTAAGACGGGGATGGCCATTGAGTCCACGAGCCGTGACTAGTGTAGACCAATTACCGTTGTTACGGTACACCGTGAGTATGAACATTGAATTTGACGAGGTTAGTGTTATCATTTGCTTGGGACTTTTAACTATTAATTTAACATCTACTAGCATGGCTGAAACTAATATCCAATAATCCTATATACTAATATCACATTTAAGTTTGACTGCTCCCTAACTTTTTCTCTCCTGATTAACAACGAATGTAGACGCTGACGGTGGTTACTCCATGCATAAAAAATATTCTAACCACCTCAGTCAATTAAAGTCCACCACATCATCAGACGACTTATCATATTTGTCTAGTACCCTGTAACTAACCATTATATTATTCCTTCAGTAGCCCCAATATTTACGACCAGCGTTTCTTCTAACTGGAGACTCATCGATGGTATGCACTCATGATTTCACTTGGGTGATTGAATCCATATCTTTTGGCATGTGCTTCGCTTTTAGATTACTGAGTCAACTTCTATTAATTTGTAAATCTGACTTTGGTCAACTGATGACAATGAAGTATAACAATTATTCGGCCTTATTATTGATGATAAGTGATTGCTTCATTGTCGCTATGAATTATTTCTACTTCTCTTGTTCCTTGTGTAAGTGTCACCTCTGTTATGTTCACAGTCTTTCTGATCATACTTGACAACTGGGAGCTACTGTAATTCCCACGGTGCATAGTAGGAACACTAAAGAATGGTGCAATGAAGATTTATTGACTATTTGAAAACAGGTCGTCCCAAAACACATTCTCATTGAACCAAATGCACTCACATTTATGTACTGATTTTACACAGGATTATTGGAAAATATATACTAGATCAACGCTGAATAGCACAAAGTAGATAAGTGTCACATTCGACGAAAAACCCACACCTATTATACTGAATAAAACATATTGACTTGAAATGATATTGTGATGTATGCTACTTATACTGACAGATATAAGTAGTATGTAAAAGCAATCGGAAGTGGGAACAGAGCATTTGGAATAACAACGAAATTAGAAGAATGACGGTGTATGTAAAGGCCAACTGATCGAAGACATGCAAATGATATATTTAATGTACGATTTTCATATTTTATGATGGCACTGTGTAATTTTACATTAAACAATAAATTGGTTTACTGCACCTGAGTTTTCGTTCACTACGACATCATGTTTCGTGATCTCGACAAAAAGCTCAACAATCTCCACAACCGTGTACTGATAATTATTATGTGCTCACTAGTGACTAGCTTTGAGAGATAATTCTCGGAGTCGTGGTGTGAAGTCGTAACCAGTGGATTTCAACCGTTTCGGGTGTGAGTCAGTTACCTACCGACGACAATGAAAGATGGTCTCACCATATCGTGGATTGGTCGAAATCAAACATTAACACTGCTGGATGTCAACTCAATGGTCTGCAGGTTAAGCGTGCCCACAGACCGAAGATCTCGGATCCTTATCCCTCGCACGGGTGCGCATTGTTGAGGAGTTCCATACTAGGATGAGATGGTCGTTCAGTGCTTCCAGGTTTTCAGTGGTGGTCTAGGATTTATCTATTCATGATCTCAATATAGGCAGTCTAATTTTCCTCGATTTCTATTATTGACTTAATGAATTTACTTTATGTTATTGTTTTTCACTCATTAATTCTTTCAAATCACTATTATTAGTATGTTCCTATTGGTATTCGACGAAACATGGAATTGCATTTAACTACTGAGGTAACTTCTGACCTAGATAAACTAACAAATTGTAATGCTTGGTTACAAATTGCTCCAATGATAACTGTTACAAGTACACCAAGAGATATTAACCTAGTTATCGATCCAAATAGATTTAATCAATTGTTATGTGAAATAGATGAGGAAGTTTCTCCCTTAAATGATGAATGTGATGCAACAATAAAGAAAACACAATATTTATGCAATAAATGTGCAGAGATTAACAAAAGCCTTACTAAGGGACTCCTGAATCGTCAGGAGATATCTTCGCTACCAGAGGATCAATTGAAGTCACAACTATGCACAGAACAACACAATGAACTATCAGGTTTCGGTTGGCCATCAAATCTAATTTCTTCAGTTAAACATCCTTTTCATTCATTGCCTGTTAAATCACAAAAACCATATGTTATGATGCTTAGTTTTAAAGCTATTAATGATCCAGAAATGGGCCGGTTAGCAGATTTGCCAATAATTATACATATGCCACATAGGTAAGATATTTAGTAGTGATTTTTTGATTCTGATATATATATCTTACATATCAACCAATCTTTAAGTTTTGTATAAATATTGAATAGTCGATCGTGTAACGAAATATTCATGTCTGTGATAAATCGGCCTATTCAGATATAATAGTTCTATACTAAATGATAAGTGGGAAATGCTAATGATAAAGCCTTAGCTTAACAGAAACAGATATACCTCTGTCGGTTGAAAATCTGACTTAATTTTCTGAGAGATATAAATATATACTTATAAATAAGTAGCAGACCTGAACGATCACAGGACATAGCAGTCTATTAAATCAGCGCTGGATATCATTGTTTTAGAAGTCAGATGATCTTTTCTTACTGCTCATCTATATATATTAGAGCTACAACTCAGTGATTCAAACATTTGGATTTTGACGATTTGATTATTGCTTTTAACCATCAATGGGATTCAAGTAACCATACACTTTCTGTGTAATTACTGAGTAATACTATCCATCGACCCAAATCCAAATGTATGGGTCAGTATTTACAACTGCTGTCCATTTTTGTAAAAACTGGTCATTCTAAAAAAAACTGCTCAACGTCTTACATGAGTTTAAACTTTACCTAGCTTCTTCATCCCATTCAGTGTTGTAGTACTTCTTATCCTCTCTCACTCTAGAAATATTTGTCTTAAAGCCTGCTTCTTATGTATATGCTTAGTGGATTACGTTAAATTCACCTTGCTAATTTGTTCTAATATTGATAGGTCAATTCAATACAATTCAATACCTTCTTACTAATAGTTATAAACAGGCTTCAGTCAGTATATTTTTCTAATTTCTTGAATCATCATAACATTGTATACCGTATGTGCATACTGACCTGTTTATTAAGGTCACTCTTTAAAGTTATTATTATTAGACAAGATAATTTAATTAAAAGTATCAATATTATGTTGAAATGCCATCCCATAGGTATAAACAACGTAGAAATTGGTACAAATTTACATCTGTTCACCTTGTCATACTTTGAACGAATAAAATCGGGAATGAGAAATATACGATAGTATTAATATTCATGGTTTAAAAGCTAGATGCTTAACAATGATTAAAACTGAACCACTAAGATTTATTTTAATCCATACTGTTCACTATCTCCTTTCAATTATTGGGTATGATTTTCTCATGGATAGCTGTTAGCAGGATGTAGCCTGGGTTAAAGCAAGTCCTAATCAGAGTTACGCTGGTGCACCTTAAGAAACTCCACATATTTACTAGGTTTTGAGAAGGGTTATAAATCAGTGTGAGGAATTAGAATTCGGATTTAGAGTTAGAAGTTAGGGCTAGGGTTTTAACCACAAACTGGCACCAGGTGTTAATGCCAAAATGTTATTTAGCCATACGGGTAGATGAGCTTCGCACCAAAATCCAAGAATTCCTATCTTAAATCTGATTAGTTCGTCTATAAATTATAGTCCCGAAGATAAATGAGAAAGACTCCACAATCTTCTTGTGCAAAAATTTTAAATGTATTAACATTTTTCTTACTATATGACTTAATTAATTTGTTGTTTTGTTTTGTAACATGATACTACTTTCCTGAGTTCTTAGCAGTAGTTCCATTTAGGCTTCAAAGACCCTCGAATGCCCTGGTACGGCCAAGTGTAGGGAGAGTTAGCTCTCCCTCTTAAATTGCTAGTACATGGCCACACGTATACAGTCATTGTTAGATAAGTCCTACTCACTGCTTTCTCACGACGAGGGTGTTGTTTACGAAAAGAAGCTGACAAAAAGCGAATGTTCGACACTTTAACCGGGTTGGTGGACACGGGGGTTTCGCCTAAAGGAGTTGGAAAATCCTGGTTCCAAACCAATGATGCACGTGTGCTCTAGGGTCCTGAGGGAACAAATGGAATATGAACCTATTTTCGGCCACCGGCTACCATTAAACTGCATCCCCCAACATTTCTGTACTACGTTGTGGATTAGACCCCTAGGTCAAAGGCCCTCCAAGAAAATCATCTGCTTCTGTTTGGGCACCGGGGCATTAAACCAGCCCTCACACAGATAAATGACAACTGCTACTGGCCTCATTGTTATTGTGTGGCGCACATATATTAGGTGCCCCCTTTTACCAATGTTTATGTGTTCAAGTAAATAAATGGATTTCAAAGACGTTTGTAAGCAAAACTGACATTCTATACATTCATCTGTCGTGTAAATCCTCTCGTGATTCATATATATCATAAACAACTTACTAATTGGCAATTTTATTTTGAAATGTACTAGTTTGTGTGTTGTTGATCGGTGTTTTCATTTTCAACTTCCTCCATCATATTTACTCATTGTTGCTGTTTTTCATACGTAATATTTATTTAAAGATTACATAGAGATTGTTGTTCGGACCACCCACGTTTCTTGTTCTCAGATAGATTTGATGCTAAAAATAAAGTAAGGAGATGGTTCATTGAAGTTCCCTATGGAGCTACTGCGGGGAGTAAGTTGTCAAAATCCATCTCACTTTATAATTTTGTCTATTTTATTTTTGTGTATAGAACACTTAAACTAGATTATGTGAATAATAATGCAATACAAATATCTTATATGTAATGTTCTAAGAACGTATAATTTTCAAGCATTCTAATCGTCAGTGAAGTAAACAAATACAAATCAAGCGTACAAAAATATGAATTTTGGCTTGGCTCAGCCAAAATCTTTAAGTGGACTGTTAATCGATCTGATCGAAAATGCTAAATATTACACTTTTGTTGGACATTACAAAGACTATTTATCCTCATCCAAAATACTAATTTATTGTAAGGTATAAATAACTAAAAGAAATAAGCAACAAATTATTAACGGGATTGAAATGGTATATCAGTCACATGAATGTTTGCATTTATATTAGTTCAGAGAAGAATAGATTTTCATGGGAAGTGTGTATAGTATACTACTGCTACAAAAATAATATATGTAATATCTCATTCCACCATAGTCTTAACTAATGTTTCTGCCTTCCATAATCTATCATTTTTGTGTTTTCTACTCCCCTCCAGTTACTCTTCACAACTATTAATTACCCATTATTACAACTTTTATTGACTCTGTTCTTCATTCATATCAGTTGAACGAGTATTTTCACCTCAACTTTCTTCATTAACAGTTGTATTATCATACAACTTCCTTTCAATATCAGATTTTTATGAAGCGATTTCTAACACGATACCACTCCTAGTATTTAAAAAAAATTCAACCTTGTCCCACTTTTACTGTAGACTAATTTTAATGAGTCCCGCGTGCGGGATCATAGGTGCTCACTACTGAAGAGTCCCATACTAGGACGAAACAGCCTTTCAGTGCTTTCAGGTTTTTAATGGTGGTCTAACTTGGATAGACCCATGAATTCAACTGTTAAAATTACTACAATCTCCACAAATCCCCATTCTGAGAATGAATTATTTGTAGACAGGATGGTAGGACTTGTGTAAAAATGAATTTATCGAAAAGAATATTTTCTTCACTGAAAATTGTCTTTATTCTTCTTCTTCTTCAAGGATAGCATTATGTTATTTTGTACTTGTATGACATTTCCAAAATCTATGTATATTAGTGTAGAGTCATGATGTAAAACTGATTGAGACGAAACATCTCATCAACTAATTTTTATTTTGATCTAATGGATCATCTAATCTTACAGGTTTTCTTTGTCTACTCTTATTTTTCTAATTTCAGTTTTACGTTTAGCACGGTTAGATGATGATGGAGATAAATCGTGTGAATTTACGATTACTATTAGTTCACCATGTATTGGTATGGATTCGGATAGTCAAGAAATTCGATGGACATTTGTTGAATTAAATAAATTTGGTCAAACTAAATCAACTTTAAAACGTATGTGTTTAAAATAACTAAGTAAATATGTATATAACTAGCTGAGTTTATTCGAGGCATCGTCGATGTTCAATACAAGTGTCATTTCATTTTTTGTCGGTTTGTTGAGATTCATCTAAATTTGAAAACAGTCATTATATCAAACTTACATCAGGAGTACCATTGAAAACTAGGCAACACTGAACATTTCATGTTGTGAGACGAGAAGGTTTTTCATTATGAATGGACTGAATTTTTAAATGCGAACTATAGAACCTCGATTTATTGATCAAAAGTGTCTTACTTTTGCGATATGAAGGTACTCACTTCTCATAAGTCCCAAATTGAGATGAATTGTTCATTCAACGTTTACTAGCTCTAAGCGATTAAATGTGCATTTTAGATTGAGCAATTATTAGTAAAGTACTTGAAAAATGTAGAAAAGAGGTTGAAAACTGAAAGTATCGTTCACCAAGTCTTCTTCGTCATGGAGTGATAAAACATACAAACTTCTTTTAAGTAGAAACCCAAAGGTTAGTGTTTCGAATCGATATACCCTCCACAATTTTTAAAAAGTGAAATCAAACTCCTTCAAAAATTATTATGAAACATAATAAGTAACCATAGCCGTTCTTTTTTCTATCCAACACATGACCGGCATGTATTGACGTAATTTAAATTTTTACAAACCATGAAAGAAAGATGGTCGCTTGCTCATCTTACTAGTCGCTTGTTAATACATCAAATATATCAATCATTGAAGATACAATGTAATCGCTAAACATCACTGTAGTTACCCCCACGTATAAAATATGAAAAGGTTATATCTCATTATAAAGATCCATTACGTTTTGGTTCCAATTCACTTCATGATATATAGTTCTTGAGAAAGATCTATCATTTCATTCAATGAACTCAAATTGTTTTTTTTTGATGTTTTCATCTTAACTAATTCTTTTTCATTCTGCTTGTCAACCATCTTGTCAGCTTTATTTTCTATGAGAACTTAGTATCAAGTTAGATAAATATCATTCGTGAAAAAGGAGCTTCATTATCAAGTCTGAAATGAAAATAAATGGAATTATTATTATTATTATTGTTATTATCATTATTATTTACTCATATTTCTCGATTTAATTTAGAAATTACAAAATCCCCTTACTTCCTCTGCCTCCCTCTCTTATTTTCCTTTGTTTCTTTCTATAGGCAATGATAAATATGGACCATCATTGAGTTCAGATGATTTCGACTGTGCATCACAATTTGGATTTCCTATTAAATGGGAGACAGATTGTTTAGAATTAACTATAGCACAACATTGGGGATTAGAAATCCCAGCTATTGTAATTGGTGAATTGTATTTTCGTGGTCTTGAACCAAGTCTTAAAAACATTGTATTGGTAAGTTGCTTTTTATAACAGACTACTAGCAATAATTCACGGTACTTGATCATGTGTGACACATTCAACTCAATTATCCAACTGTTCACTTGGTAACCAGATTAGACTAAAATGAGAGTTTATAAAAATACGAAGCATTTAGTAAGTTGAATTTAGGGTGAAATAAACCTCACAAATTATGATCATCATTTATGCTTAGTGCAGCTGAAATCACTGGTTACTGTGCTTGGGTAAATCTTTTAATTTTCATATTAATCAATGTTGTCCATGCTAAGTACAAGCGTGTTACTTCATTATGTAGGAGGTTTGTGAATGATTGACAAAGCGAGTTTTCAATTGTCAACATCAATGAATAGATTGCTAATTGATCTATGGATATGATGAAATGATGTAACCACGTGATGGCTAACCACAAGAACGAATCGTTTATGTAAGCCCTTGATTGACTAGAAATGAAGGATAAGATCATTAGCCAGATGAATAGGTTTTTTATATGTAATCAAATAACATACTTATTTACAGTATATAAACACACAATGAACATGGTAAAATGTTTTAGGCGTTAAGATGGAATTAGTTTGTAGGTTGCTCATTTCCTAATCAATTAAAACCTGACTATTAAGTCTTGCCCTTTCAGCATCCTATCCAAAGTGTAAACTATTTAATTACAGAGTATTGATTACGAATAAAATGACCCTCAATTATACAGCGTATCGGCTTTATTATTATAATTGTGATTCTTAAAATTAAACTCTCGGTGGAAGATTTTATCAAATAAATAGTAGAAATGTGACATTTATGCAATATTTGGTCGTTGTTTGAATCTTAATAGAATAGTGAATGATAATAACAATAACTCACCCATCGACTGTGATGAAATGACTAGTTAATTGTGTTGAAAAAGATTAAAATGTTACTCTTTGCAAGCGCTTTTATACACATTAGGACAAAATACACCTGGTTACTGATGTGTACTTAACACAATGATAATAATAATAATGATAAATCAAATCAAGGAACTCATTCACAGATCTTCAAGTATAAGGTGTTTGTTATTAAGTTCATCGTCCAAACTAAGTTAGATAACCATCGAAATCCAGGAATCACTGGACAGTTGTATTGTTTCAGTATTTCATTCTCTAGTAGTCGACATCCATATCCTCACCTGAGATCGAAACCAGAATGCTAGATTTTTGTAGTAAGCTCTTAAACGCCAGGCCACTAAGCCGAAATCTAATATTTAACATATCTAGATTATAATAGACTATTCTGTTGGTTTGACAATCATAAACTTTCGAACTGTCAAGTTTATTATCATTCTATGTATTTAATCTATTTTATTTTTCAGAATACAAGTGATCGTTATTGTCGTATCGGTTTACGTTCTAATTTTATTAATGAATCAATACAGCCGGATATATGGTTAACTCATTGGTGTTTACCTGTCAAGTAAGAAATAATGATCATTTAAAATAATTATTTCAGAGAGTTTTTGATTATGTCTTATTGTATAAACCATCTATCCAATTAATTACTCTAATAAGGTCATAAAAAAACACCATTTTATAAAATCTAAAGCACATTAATTGTATTCCCTTTCAAAACAATACGTATGTGTGATAATTCTATTGTCCTGAGCTGGAGTACTTCTCATACCTCGTTACCTCACGTTGTTGTCGTACAATGTTCTTAACCTCAATATTTGGTCAGAACTATGTTCACGGGAAGATTTCCAAAAGTTAGTTTATTAACAGTTATCTAAATAGTGAATCACCAATCTATGCAGCATAACAACCGACTGCAAACATTCTATATTACCATCAACACTGAATATCAGCCGTCGTCATAGCTTTGCACCATGTTTACAACTTTCATGATTCTTACTGAAACTCTTGATCCCTTTGAAAAATGCTTTGATAATCATTGAGGTTTTACAATTCACTGTAATTTTAACCACATCATTCATTGTGTAAAAAATTACATTTAATTGCCGGTTTTATTCCGTATTTCTAAGTTGTGTAATTATCACGCATTGATTTGTATCGCCACTTCTTACTAACCCCTTATATATGAATAATTTGAAGAACTCTCAATTAGTTCATTCTTTGTACACCATTGTATGATCTGCTACATATATGAATTAGGCTAAATTTTTATTGTCGGTCATACTTGTGAAACTATTATTTGTACAGCCCCCAAAGGCCCTGGTACGGCCGAGAGTTGGGCGAGTTAGCTATCCCTTTCGAAATACTCTCACATTGCCAAGCGTATACAGCCACTGCTAGGGAAGTAATGCTCACTACTTTTTCGTGGTGGGGGTGTTGACGAAATTGAGAGGACAAAAAGTGAATGTCCGGCACTTTAACTGGGTCGGAGATATGGTGGGCAGTTCGAAAACCACGATTCTTAACAGTGCACATGGGCTTCAATATCCTGAAGGGACAAATGGCATATGAACCAATTACTGGTCACCGGCTACCATGAGACTGCATCTTCTGACGTTTCTCTACTGCATTGTGGATTAGACCTTTAAATCGAAGGCTCCGGGTGCGGCTCCTTAACAAAACCACCTACTTCGGTTTGGGCACCCGAGGAATATCACAGCTCACACACAAATCAAGTGACTTGTGTGGCGCATATGTATTCGGTGCCCTTTGTACCAATATTTATGTGTTCGAATAAATAAATAAATAAATGATTAAACAACTATATTCCCCCATTAACATATTCATGAATTTTGTATTCAAATTCCTAGATCGTTGTCTGTCTACTTGTGCTTTGTTTTGTCCTTCTTCAACAGTAAATTCCCTTAATGTGAATTAAACGTTTAAACATTTTTCCATGCTCTTCAGAGATGACGTTTAACATTTACCGCTCACGTGAATGCTTTTAATAATGTACCGTCACTGTTTTCACATTTATTTTAACTGACTTCTTCCTTTGATCTGACCAGTAACTTTACGATTTTTTGTCTCTTTTTCTCATTGGCTAATAGATTGGATCTTTTGCGATTGCTGAATATCAAGTTCTCAACTTCCTTTATGTTGCTCTTGCTCTATATTTTGACTTCAAATTGAATTCTTGCCTGAATGTATCCACATGTATCTATATAAGCGAAGACACTAGTCGTTTTACAGGTAGATAGACGGTGTTCAAGTGGCAAAGACTGTAATAGTGACTATTTCATTAGACGTAGTGTAACTTGGCTTGTATCCTTCATAGGCTACCTACATCTATTAAAAAAGACTTAAGAATGTGGTTTTAATCTTTGAAATTTCCTTATTTTGCCTTTACTAAAAATTTTGAGTTTTTTTAATTCCTTATTTGTTTTTCAGGCCTCATGATTCGAAAATTTTTTATTTAGGTCATGGAACAAATGAACTGCTTCCCAACGATTGTGGTTCGTATGCTCTGCGTTTAACATATCGGTTTAGTTGTGTATGTTTCGCTTTTAAGCTATTATTTAATTATTCATAGATAATCAACTGTTTTATTCAATATGTGTCTTTGCTCAACACATTTAAATGTGGGAATTGGGTTTTGTTTGAGAGACGAAACTATAGTCAAATTCTACACAACAGTGAACATTATGACTTATTAAAATAGACAAAATATTTCTGTACTGAGATGTAAAACTATAGATTGATACTGTAGTGAAAATGAACTCAGATGGGGATAACCGATTTGTTGTTTAATGCACAATCACACAGAGTGGTTTAGTAAAACATGAAAATCATACACATCTATGAATATTCTCCTACGAGTTTGATTGTTCCTTCATTTCTGTTGTTATCTTGATTGATTTCAGTTTCCTTCTCTGTTCTCTTCATTCCACTCTCAGACACTACACTTCCGACTGGTGTTACATACTACTTATGTTTGCAAACATAAGGAGGTAGATATATTCTGTCCTCCCATTAAATAATTTTAATGTCCATATCAGCAGATGTCATTGTCTGAATACTTAATTAATATACATTTGTCTGGTTTAAAAGTAAAAACTTATACGAAAGGGAATCGCCTGAGTTCGAAATAAAAGTCAAAATACTAGGTTACTGAGATGCTGTATCACATAGATTCAGCTTGCAATCCATATCCAATCAGTGTTAAGATAGATAAACTAAACTTCATACTGAACCATATTGTCTTATGTGAAGAATAGATTATAGCTGACAATGTAATCAAAGACACTCTTTTCATTCTATTTGGAACTTGTTCAACATACTCCCTTATTACTTCATTTTTTCAGCCTTTCAAATCAGCTACAACCATCATTTCTTTGCCTTGGTTACAAGATATGCTTTATACCAGTGATTATTCAATTCATATATTTCATATTTATGATAATTGTGGCCGATATATTGGTGCTGGTGAATACGATGGAGTAAGTATCTCCTTCATGTTGTTTGGTGAAACATGATATTAACTTCATTTCATTTTGTATCGTTTGTTTGAATCTTCCCATTGATGCTTAGAACTGCAATTGATCAGTCTCTTATTGGCATATGTGCATCCTGTGCGAATTTCCTCGATATTGCTTTAAGTTACAAGCTTTATAAACCAAGATAGATGGTGGAATCCAGGATGTGCGTTTCGTCCTATTTGGGACTCGTCAGCCAAATGTACCTGCATCTCAGTGTTGATGTTCACTTTAGGACTCGAAACCTGTACCACTCGCCAAGTTAGCCGATGAGCCACATACTTTCGTCGTTAGCATTAGCTAGATCTACGTTATACTTTATTAACCATCACTCTGTTTCTCTTGCCTAGCTAATATATGTAATTAGAATGAAAAAAATGACTTGGGACATTGAGATTAAAATGTTACATCCATCCGTAAATTCATGTTTATCTCGTGTGTTTTTTATTCCAGCACCGTGAACAACGTCCGAAATTTACTTTCAATTTACAAAAGGGTGACTATAAAGTGATTGCACAGGTACGTTTACTCTGGAATATCATCAACTGGCATTAACGTATCATTGTTACATTCCACCAAGTTATCTTAAATATCCTGAGCTTATCGATGTTGTTATGGAACAGTTAGCCAAAATGGAATAGCCTATAATGCCGTCCTTCATTACTTTTGTGGCCACAAAGATTTCTGAATTTGCACTCTATAACACTATATCTTTGTCGGAGTTTTCGTGATATCTAAATTGATTAGATCCATAATAACTCCAACATCGTCATCCTGAGCTACAACCATTCTCTATCTTCTTACTATATCTTTACTTAAGGCAAATGAAGGAAATGACCTTTGCATGTCACCTAGAATCACGTATCTCTAACTAGTGAAGCTCTAAATTTCTGGCATTTAGGAATGATATAACTGTTGGAATGCATGCTGTATGAGGCCTTACTAACAGAACTCCATCAAGGTTCTGACTGTGTAGAACAATTCATCTTGATTGTGTGCTATCGTTTTCTTTGGGCCGTTAGTTGGCCGATCCGATCACAAGCAACTGTAGCTCGAAAGTCGATCAATTTAATTAGTTCTCTAGAAGTTGTTCTCCCGTCAACTTGTCAACAGACTCTACTCACTTAAGCCACATCAACTGAGAAAAGAGTAATTCTATCAGCCCTAAAGTTCACAAGGAATTTACATTAGCAGTATCATTTATTTTTTTCAAGGTTATGATATAGTCCTTCTTTTTAGCATGATCCGACGGTGCATCTGTATTATTATAGTCTAAGTTCTTCCCACCAATCAGACTATATAGCATCACACTAGCAACCGCATGAGCTTGGTCAGATAGCCGGTTAAGTATCCCGTAGGCTCTATGGTAACCTACAAACGAGCTTAGTATCACGCACCCTACAATAGCTTTGTCACTTTGTCACACAGTAGTAAATAAAATACAACACATCATTGATCTTTCAAGCACTACAAACGTGAAATGTTAAGTTGGCTCATATTCCGTTTAATATTAGAACACTAAGACCTTTAATCAGTTGCACATCAAAATCTTTCTTCTGTTTTTTTGTATTTGTTAGATTTGCCATGAAAGTGGTCCATCTTTAAAACGTGAACCAATAAAACCATTATCTGTCCCTTGTCCACCAGGAAACGAATTGTCGTATAATTTAAGTGAATACAAAAATGCTGATTCTACCGCGATCAATTCCACTTGGTCACCACTACAATCGTTGCAAAACACTCCAATATTAGTAAGTTTTCGTCTAACTGGAGGAATGGAATTATCTAGTGGTAGAAAAGGTGGTTCTTGTTTAACTGGACAAAGTGTTGTACAATTTGAATTCAGCTCATTCCCTTCATCACTTAATTTGAACGGTACCAAATTTTGTTCAGCTATGGATCCTTTAACATCTGATGCAAAACAAACTACAATGATCAATCGTAGTGTATTGAATAATTATTCATCAAATACAATTACAAATGATCAACAAACAGATAATATTGAATCAAATCGTTTTGAATTGGTAAAGCGATTGCCATGTCTTCCCAGTCGAGTGAACGCATGCGAAACAATCAGTATTTTTCTAGGTCTTACAAATGAACGGTAAGTGTTGTTATATGTTTATACAATTACGATCCACCAATTTATTTCAAATAATTTATTGAACCACAATATTAAAAAGTGACTCATAAATTAGTAAACTATTGGAAAGTAAGTAGTACTTCGAAGTCTTTTTTCCGTTCTGGTTGAAAAATCTGAGCTGTTGATTCCTGATTTAACAACTAGTTAGTGTTTGGCTCTAGAAATAATTTAAAAATTGTAGGTTTTATCGTGCATGGAGATCTAATTGTACGTTGCTGAAATACTCCATACTATGAAGAAACAGATTACAGAAGCTTTCTGTTTTCAGTACCCCTGCGATTATCATGACTACATTCCATATTCTTAGAAATTATCAGCATGTATATGGTGCTTTGGACTTTTTACTGATTATTCTACCCTACGATTCATGGTATGTGGCTGCAACAATTCTTTTACTTAGTCGTTTTTATTTCTCACCCTAAACGTTTATCAACTTTTTCAGTGGTAATTTATGTGAAGCGAGGGTTAAAGCATTTGACTTTCAACTACTAAGTTCCAGGTTCGAACTCCACTCCACTTATTTTTGTCTCAGCTATCGTTTACTATCATTGTTCCTCATACTTGGAGTGTATCTCATACCCAAGTACTAGGTAAATAAACTAATTTAGATTTAAGCAGGTACACTATACATTAATTCTTATTCCATGATTACAACCCGTTGCAAAGTTCTTTCATTCTGTTTATTTTCATGAAGAGAAAAATGTTTATAAGATTTCACTATTCTTCTGCATTCACTTTTACTAAACTTATATTGTTTCAGTTATTTTTTATTTTAGTATCAGAAGGTGTTTTGCGGAGATTGTAGTAATTTCAATAGTTCATATCATAACGCTCGGTTTTACTTCGTCTCATATTATAACGGTTGGGTTTCCACGTTACACATATGGGACGTTAATTTACCTTAAGCGATTGATTATCTACACTAGATCCCTACCAGTGTCTATTCTACAGGACGTCAACACAACTCAGATCAAGAACACGTAATTAGCCTGACCACAACGTAAATATACTTTCACATCAAAAACCGACACAATCCACAACAATGAACAATCCATAATAAGTGTGTGTCACAATAATAAGGATAAGGGAATATATAACTTATCTGACACCTGTCAGACTATCTATATGTCTGACTAAGCAGACAACCAATCATGATCTTTCTCGCCCACACATCACTAGAACACCATGGAAGACCTGAAAGCACTGGATGGCCGTTTCGTCCTATTGTGGGACCCCTCAGCAGTGCCCATTCACGACATCGCCTCGCGGAATTCGAATCCAGGACCATTGAGCTGGCCGGCATCCAACGGTTTAGCTTCAACTCCTGGGTTCGAATCCTGCAAGGCGGGATCGCGGATGCGCACTGCTGAGGAGTCTTATAATAGGACGAAACGGCCATCCAGTGCTTCCAGGTTTTCCATGGTGTTCTAGCTTCAATTGACTCATGATCTGAACTGTTGAAATTACTACAATCTCCACAAAACCCTTTCTGTTATTAATCAATATATGCTCACTAGTGACTGACTTCAAGAGGTATATTTTTTATTTGTATATTGTATTTCTCTTTTAATCGTTTCATTAGATTTTCTTTTTATAGGATTCAAATTGATTTTTACTATAGGGCTTTGTAATTCTCACGTTGTACTTTCATAGTTTAATTTGTTAATGTTGTACATTCCAGTTATCCAACGTATATAGTACCAGGTTCATATTTTTCTGGAGCGATTGGATTCTATGATTCTAATTTATTACATAATTTAGTGAGTTTGTTGAATGTTTCACTTCTTTTTCGAATTTATTTCTAGTAGTTAAAATTGTTCGTTTTACTTTTTCTAAAACTACAACTTTTGTTAGTCGATTTGAAAAGTTATCTAAACACATAAGCAATGGTACAAGGAGGCATCAGATATATGTGCACCACATAAAACATTCGATTTAAGCGAAGGCTAGGATTCTGCTCGGGTGCCCAAACCGAAACAGGTGGTGTTCTTAGGGGGCCGCACCCGGAGTTTTTGACCTAAAGGTCTAATTCACAAGGCAGTGGAGCAACGTAAAGAGATGCAGTCCCATGTTAACCGTTGACCAATAATTGGTTCATACTCCATTTGTTCCTACAGGATCCTGCAGCCCATGTGTACCATTGGTTTGGAATTAGAGTTTTCCAACTATACTAGGTGGAATCTGTATATCCACGAACCTGGTTAAAGTGCCGAACATTCACTTTTCGTCCTCTCAATTTCATAAACAACATTATTGCCGTAAGAAGTCAGTAAGTAGGACTTCCCTGGCAGTTGTTGTATGCACGTGGCCATATGAGAGCATTTGGAGAGGGAGAGTTGACTCTCCCCACTCTCGGCTGTACTAGGGCATTATGGAATTCACTGGCTTGAGATGTTATCCGATACAGCTTAGAATAGAAATTAGTAACGATTTTTTGAGATTCAGATCTAAATTAATGGTCCCATCTTAGGTACAACCTATATTTTTCTCTTTCGTTTTTTGCGCTGAATTTTGTCGTTTCATCTTTTAATCTATACATATATATACTTATTTTTTTTACAGGTAACTTATCCATTTCGTTTAGTCATGGATAATTCAAACGTATTGTCTTCAAAATCTACTTTAATTACAACACCAACTACAACTACTACTACTTCTACTAATACCGCTACTTCATCACCTGTACTCCTCTCATCTTCCATACTATCATCTGATCATAATAATATAAAAGTAAAAGAACTTCCTAGAAAGTTATTAATCAGCTATATGGGTTTAGGTAATGAAGATCTGGAATGGATCCAATGTTTTGGTGAGTTATTCCTCTTCAACTCCAGGACAATTGAATATCAGTATAAAAAGAATGAAAATTCGCTTAATAATAATAATAATAATAATAATAATAATAATAATAATAATAATAATAATAATAATAATGGTGATTCCAAAGATATAGACACATCCCATACATCAATTCATCAAGATCATCACGAAGAGAAAATATGCCAGTTAGAAAAACCTCATGAAAATAATATTACTTACCATAATTCATCATCGATTATGTGTGGAAACTTGATGAATAATGTGAAAACAGATTTAACTGATGAGCGTAAAGGTAAGACTTTTTACTAGTCGTATTATCGATTATTTAACCTATATTGTCAGTAGGACGAGTGACCTATGTACCAGTTGACATATCGACTAGTAATCAACAATTATGACTTTAGAGCCTATTGGGCCTTAAGCTTCCTAGAATTCAATCACCAAAAAGAAGACGAAAACAGAAATCAGATCAGTTCTCAGTTGCACCCAGTTCCATCATGATTCATAATTCATACAATAAAATGCCTGAGATTTCTGAACATATAACAACACAATTAAGGAATTACGTGTACATAACTGCGTTATAAGTCATGCAAAACAAGAGCTATAGGAGACTAAGTCATTAATGATTAATCCAGAATGAAAGGATGGATAACAAAGATTTGGAGAGCAAACGAAAGCTTAGAAATAGGTGGATACAAAAATACAATAGTCTAAAGATTTGTTTATTATACAATCGAAATACCAATAATAATTCTTTGTATGATGTGGATCTCAAAAGTGATACTTCCACAGTATTCATCTCATTATATGATTTGGCTACTGTGAATCCTGAATGTCGTCGATTCGACAATTGGTGGTAGACTTGTTCAATAATTGTTTTCAAAAGGTCTCAAGATGAAATACGGTTGTGTTTAGATGTTACAACGTTATCATGTTTTCTACGGATAACAATCTCTCCTATTTTCTTGACTCGTCAATTGTTGTTCGTTTGTGCAGTAAACTTTTGTTGCTTATGAATAATATTTTCAAGACACAAAAGTGACCCTACACAATTACTTAGTCATGTAGGCTATTTTATGTTTATTTATCTGTTGAGCATGCTAAATCCCCAGAAATTGCTTGGTAATCATCTAATTTCCGTAATTTTATTATGGAAATTTGAACGTCTCCTTTTCTCTCCAAAAGCGCCTATTTTTACCTTCAATTTGTATTCCCTATCTGGAAGGACCTTAAATATCATTGGTTCGTTTCCTCTTCTAGTACTCTATTTTATGACGTTTTCCAAGGACATCTTTGTAATATATATATATATATATATATATATATATATATATATACGCATAAGTTGTGTACGTGTTCGTTCGTACTTCCGGCTGCTTATCGAATATATATTTTTCCCGAGTGAATCTGGTTTTTTCTTTCTAGTTAACAGAGCTGGAGCGCTGTGGAATAGATTGGCTTGTCCTGTTTTTGTGTTGCTGACTTTCGTTCCGTTCGTTGGTTTTAAGTGATACTGTAATCTCTTCAAACGTAGCAGTATCTTTTGTACAGAAATGTTATTGATTTTATTTGCATTTTATTCGTTTTTCAGGATGGGACGCTGATAATAATCCAAATAATTATGTAAATGACGTTGAACAAAAGGTAATATTGACCATTTTAATGTCATAGTTTTATTTGTTCATTGGTGTTTTAGTTCTAATATAGTTCTGTAAAATATAAGGTGTATTACGGTGACTCCTTAGACGTATCCTATAAATATTAAAAATATTAGTATTTGTATATTAGAAATAAACATTTTTGAATAGTGCTGTCCTAGCACTGACTAATACGCATGGACAGTCTTAAGCAACCGATACACAACAAGTACGAGAAGACTGATACTCTATACTTGACGGGTGGTCCAACTCTAACTAGTCCCAAACGAAAAGGAAAAAACACGATCAATGACCACCAGTGCAAGGTCGCTTTATATTTCAAGCATACGTAATTTGTATACAAACATAATTAACTACATTACATCATAAAATAAATAATTATTATACATGTTCAAGTCAAAAATTGAGTGACAGTTGGGGAGACTATGAATAATAGATTGGAAATTAATTAAGAACTACGAAGAGTAAATCGTATATCAGTGATTAATGGGTCAATTGAAAGCTTACAATAAAAGGAAAATATGTATAATACTCCATAAATTAGTCCTGGAAGTTACCGTTCCTTTAGTCTTCATTCGAATATAACAGATCGTACTTTAGTCCGTTGATCTAGAATTTATCTTGCCATTATTAGTATATTTATTATGAGTGTCTTTTACTGTGATCTTATGGTTATTTATTATTATTTCTATTGATTGATAAATCTGGTTTATGTTTATCAATTGATACATGACCTGATTACTATTCTTCTTCTAACAATCTATGTGCGTTTTTTTATCTTCTCCGTCCAATATTTTAACATTTTCCTAGTCAACCTCATTTCCGTACTTGCTCACATAAAATAATAAGTGATATTATACTGCTTTTCAATTAATTTTTTGATGAACTTGTTTGTACATAGTTGGTCTGTGAATCTGATTGGTTCGCATTTCGTTACTTACTTATTTACATCTGTTACCGTCGTAGAGAGGCATAGGCCGCCCACCAGAATTCTCCAACCAACTCTGTCCTGGACAATTCTTTCCAGTTGCTACCAGTTGCTATAAATTCTTTTAATGTCTGATTCCGATTCCCGACTCAATGTGTTCCTTGACCTTTCTCTTTTTCTTTTCCCTTCAAAGTTGGCGCTTGCCTCATGTTGGAGTTTGACGATTACCATAATGTATCTCCTATCCGCCCCTATCGTATTTTTCCTAATTTCCTCTGTAAATGGAAGTTGGTTTGTTCTTTCTTACTGCAGGCTGTTGCTGATGGTATCCGATCAACGGATATTGGGTATCTTGCGTTTGGTATTTGATACCAGTTGAAATTTATCAACAGTGTATCCGTGTAATTTGATATTCTAAGTAAAATACAACAGTAATATCTTCAAAATAAAGATCATACTACTCATATTTTTAAACTCAACTAAATACAATTTCCATTTTATGTTGCTTTTGTCTCATGAGAAATTAATTAACTTTATAAGTTAACACAATTACTGTCAGTTCTCTTAGAATTGGTTCGAATTTTCAGATTATTCTAAAAAATTTTGTTTTCGTTATTTAGGCAGAGGTTAATAACTCGACGAAATCACCAAACGAATTAGATTCACAATCGAATGATCATAATACACTAGATTCACTGAATGTCATTGAACAAGACACTAAAATCTTGACAATATCCGACAATATTGACTTTGATGTCAATAATTCAAGCAGAGAAACGGTGCTCGGTCAACAAACATTAGGGGCAACGGCATCAGTAGTGGTAACACCACCGAAATCCACCACAGAACATAATCTCTCAAATGATAACAAAAATCAAACATCATTCAAGGTGAACAACTATAATTCAGATGAATTCAGTGCTATTCTTTGTAAAATTCATGTAGATTTATGTTCATTGGATAAACCGTTCATAAGTACCTTTGACGATGACGATGATGATGTTAATATTCGTAATAACAGCAATGATTGGCATACTAATCTATGCATGCTTTTAAAAGAACGTTTCAAACTATGGTATGATATTGATTGTTTAAAGAATGGTCGATTGATAAATTCTGATGAAACATTGAACCTGTTGAACAGATTTTTTGAATTCTCATCAATGCCAACCATACAAAAGACGACACAATTACATAATATGGATAATTCAAAAGTTTCAATTAAATCTTCATTGGTGCCTACGAAAGAGAATAATTTATTTTATCATCTATTGAATGTTTCATTACCATCTAGTAATAATAATAATAGTAACTCAGTGACACCTATGAAGAAGAATCTCAAAACCAACACTTTAGCCACTACCGATGGTGCATGTCTTTTTGCAAGTTCTTGTAGTAATCTATCATTGAATGGTGAATATACACTATCGTCTCCTTTATCATCACAATTAGAACTTTGCAAATCTGATTCTTTGTGTAATCTTCTTAGACCTGAACCTTCTGATGGGTGTGTTGTAAGTCAGTCTAATCAAGGAATAGTCAAATCTGAAAAGTAAGTAAAAATTTTTTAGAATTAAGCACTTTTCTTCATATGTATTAGCAATGAGATTAGAATTTGTTGAAAAGAAAGCACTTCTTATTTGTAAAGCCATGAATCGGTTAAGTGTTTCTACACTCATCTTTGAGGATCCTAGCGATAATATTTTGTAACAGATGAAGAAACTGTACTAGGTTTAATCCAAATATGACTAAACTATTTTGGTCATTAATTATTTTTTTAAGTTGGTGTTGAACAAAGTAAAGTTTATGAAATAACAATGTA